GAGAGAACCAAGGCTATGCGTCACTCGGAGATGAAATTGCCATGCAATTGCGGGCTGATGTCATAGACATTCAACAATCCTTGCGTGTGCTTAAGACCATTGTGTATGTGCTCTGCATTGTCGTTGTTATTTTGTTGTGCCGTATGTAAGCACCGTTACCATGTTCTTAGTATGTACAAAGACATTAGTATGTCTTGAATATGTTGTTAGTATGTAGTTAGTATGTTTGTAGTACGATGGTATTATGTTGTCGCATATGGGAGCCGTAATACTAACTATCATGTTTTTGTCCACTACTAACTTCCATGGAACCTGTGTACGTACGTAAAAAATGTTTTCAATGGGTATATGCAAATTTCATCTTCAGCATCATATATCTGCGTTTGTTGTTTTTAATGTGTCATCTGTTGTGTGTGTGTATATAACAACCAAATTTGTGATTTATATCTTTTGTAACCGTACATTAGTAATGGCTTCCACACGTACTTCGCCTCGTAACCACTCGAAAAGCAAAGGCGTTGTCAGTGACAAGTCAACCAGTCTTGAAGAGACACAAACTCAGTTAAGCCACAAGGCCTCATGGGACAGTAACTCAGTCTGAGTTTTCCTCCAGTTGATTGCAAATGAGATTAGTAAAGGAAATCGGCCATTCTTAGTCCTTAGCCAGGCAGGGTACAAGTCGTTGTCAAGGAAATTTCAGAGAAAAACAGGAAAAAAACATGGACTTAAACAGTTGAAGAATAAGTACATGAGCTTGAAGAAAGAGTGGCAAGCGTGGCTGAAGTTGATGGATTCAAGCAAGGGAGTGTCCGGGATAGGCTTTGACTATGACACCGGTTTGTTTCAGGCACCTGACGAGTGGTGGGACAAGATGGAATCAGTAAGTACATGTAGAAACAAGTTTTATATTTCTCATTTACCAGTACATTTTTTACTTCTTAATTCAACTTGAATAAAATTTATGAATATGAAATATAACGTCAACCTCTTTTACACATGTACATGTCTGCAGATCAATAAGGTGTGTGCGAAGTTCAGGAAGAAAACGTTGGAACACCGTGACTTGCTGGAGACGGTTTTCATGGGGGCAGCAGCTACTGGGAAGCACCATTGGACCCCGGGAGAGAACATTCCTGAAGCTGCTACGGACTCATCTGATTCAGTGCGTAGTTTGGGAGCCCAGCCATTTGCTGATCCGATACCCACAGGAGTACAGGACGTGGATTCTGATTCTTCACTGGAGCATGTGTCGATTGAAAAGGCAAAACGGAGAAAGACGCCATCAACAAGTGTTTCAAAGTCGAAGAAGGCAACAAGTGGTGCGTCTGTTATTGCGGAGAGCATGAACAGAATGACAGATGTGGTGCGTTCGAAGAATCAGCAGGTCACGGTCAGGCACCTCACAGGCAACGAATCACTGTACACTATTTCCGAGTGCATGCATAAACTGAGCAGTATTCCGTCCCTGATTGGTACACCGTTATTCCACTTCGCCTCCACACTTATGGATAACATTGATTACCGGGAGGTCATGATGTGCCAGCCTGATGACGACCACATCATTGGCTGGCTTACACAGAAGCAGCTCCAGTGTACTGCGTCGGGGCCATTTGCAAACCTGTTTGGGGGTAGACGGATGTGATGCTACGGTCTTACGAGTGTTGAAGATGCATGTCTTTTTCTTCCTTTTTAAAACTTAGACTTATGGTACTGTTGGCTATGTACTAAAACAGGATGGTGGTGTGTGCATGTTTTGCATTCTGTCTTTTTTTTTTTTTCTTCTTGCTAGCTACGGGCAGTGACAAGTTTTAGGTAAGTGCATGGGTTGACGGACCGGAAGCATGGTTGTGCTTCGTTTTTGGGAAATGAATGGGATGTTTACGTTTTAATATTTTGTGTCGCTACGTTTAAGACAGGGAATTACGTTTCGATGCACGCTTCTGAATGCCTATGTGTCGCAAGTTCTTTTGTTAGTTTTGTGGTTGTTACAACCATGGCCCCCCTGTAAAGCATACGTTGAACAGCTTCTTTTTTTTTTTTGCAATTCATATCAACTTTTGTGGTTGTTACCACCATGGTCCCCCTGTAAATTCAAGTTAAACAAGTTTACAATTTGTGCAATTCATATCATTATGCGTTACTAATGAAATACTGTGACGGCATTACTTGCATTAAAAATAATGTCGGCATTTTGTAATTGCAATTGCAATTTTTTGAATAACTTGACTCAATGAAAGGGAAGCAAACTGATTGAAAGAGTGCCACTCTTGTAGGTTACGCATCAACGAAGACGTAATGAATCCCTGGGATGGAAGCAACAATGACGGAATAAGGGAAATACTTAATCAAATGGTAGTCCAGGTGCAACAAGAACACAACTGCACATTTCTACAAGCATGCCAGTATGTGACAGAATGGTACGAAAAACACATGGCTAAAACGCCATGTTGCACTTCTATACTGACCGAGAATGCATGGATATCCGAACTATATGCGGGCCATATGGGTTGATTTGAGGAAAATGTTTACATGCCGAAGGAAGTTTTTGTCGCATTGTGTGAGACATTAGTAAATGATTTTGGGTTACAAGTCCCGCAACGTCCACATGGCTTAGCTGTTGAAGAAAGCGTTGCGATGTTCTAAAGAGCCAACCCACTTCCCAAACGGAGGCTAAGAATAAATTTATATTCTAAAGATATTTAACATTTTCTTCGTTATTTGTACTACTCCACGGTAATAACATATATTTTCTCATACCAGTAACAAATATCAAGTATAGTGATTAAAAAGAAGAGAAACGATTATTCAAGTGGAATGTATTAAAACAAAAATCAAAATAGTAAAAAAACTTTGCAAATTAAAAAATAATTTTATAAACTTTCTTTTATCAAATTTGATATTAATTTTTCAATATACCACTAAAATGTTTCTTTCCTTAAAAGAATGGAGCGTCTCCGACTTTAATAGATAATTAGCAATTGACCTGTGCAATATGCATATTATTATTTTTTAAAATATTTGATAATACGATGTGTGTTGTAAAAGAATAATTTTGATTTTAGTTTTAAATTAAAAATAAAATTAAAGTATGAATTTAATTATTTATTTTAATAATACTGGCTCAATCATTCTATAAAATTGTTATTTGAATACTTATATATATTAATTTTAGTTAAATTATTTATGTGTTTTGATAATTTTAGTTATATTGTATTATAAAAATATAATTTTGGATAATATATATTAAATTATAAAATAGTAATAAATATTCATTTTGATATTAAAAATAATAGTTAAATTAGAAGAAGAATTAATAACATAAAATTAAAAGTAATTGTAACTATTTAATTTTCTTTTATATTCATTTGGAAAATAAAAATATATAGAAATAGAAATTATATAAAAATAAACACTCTTAATTAAATTAAAATATCAACTATATAAAAGAAATTTAACAACGACTAACCAAGAAAAAATCACATAACATCTAAACCCAAAAAAAATAATAATAAAAACATTGGGTAAATTACAAATGCACCTTCTGAGGTTTGCTTGAAATACAAATTGTCCTCCGTGGTTTGAAAAATTACAAATACCTCTTTGTTAAAAATTTTTATTTAACAGAATTAATTGAAAAAGTGAAATTTCTAACTGTTCACCTATACAATAATAAAATAATCTGAATTATTAATTGAAATAAAATTTTAACATTATTAAAAATTGTTAATTAACTTGATGATTTATTAATAAAATGACCTATTTGTTATAAAATTAGAAATCTTAGGGGGCATAATGTAATTTCTAAAATCACATGGGGTAATTTGTAATTTAAGTAAATCTCGGAGGGTATGTTTGTAATTTATCCTAAAAACATTCAAACGATAGAAACATCTGAATGTGTGAAGTGATTAAATTATATTTACCATGAAAAATATATGGGAAAATTTTTTATATAAAATAAGTAAAGTTAGTATAATTTAAATTAAGTTTAGATTTGTATAGAATTCTATATGTAATTAAAAAAGACATGCTTACGTAGCTATCTTAGAAAAAAAGGAACCCTCATAATGTGCCATTTAAGTATGAAAAAAATATTATTTTTAATAATATATATATGATTGGACCATCCAGCTAGGTTTTATGTGCTTGTTACATGCTTCTCCTTAATGATTCAATCCGTTAATTATCAAAATTCTTATATGTAGATTACTTACAAAGTAAATTAAAATTTTATTTTGATAATTGTACACATAATTTTGTCAAATTTATTTTCAAAAAATGAATGATTTATATTTAAAATCATAATGGATGTTCATTTTTATTGAAATATTTATGTTAAATCACGTGGTTATAATTATTGTAATTTTTTTTAGAGTGATATATGCATAGAAATCTAAATTAAAAACAAATAAAATTATACTGTTAGAAATGGTTTGAAAATTCTAGATAAAAATAGAATTTTTTTCTAACTTTAGTCTATTATTTAGGTAGGACCCGTACGCCAAAATTGGCGGATCTAAATCGTAACGCGTTCTATGCCGCGTTGTGATTCACGTGATATAATTGGTTGTTCAAAACCATTATCTAATGAATGAAAAATTGAAACCAAAGTGTGCTCCATGGAAATGGAGTTTTGGTGAAAAATCCTTAAAGGTTGAAAAATAGCTTGTTCCACATTGATTTTGTGGGAAGTTTTGAGTGGGTTTATAATGCATGGGATTGGAACTTGGTGTGTGCCCCAAGGGGTACCCAAGTTTTGTAGAGAGGGAGGTTATGGGTAAAAGGGACTAGACCCGATAGACCCAAAAATCACCACACGCACACCGCCGCCATCCGTCCGGTCGGGCAAGCTGGGCTAGGCCTGGGTTTGGACGCGAGTACGTGGTATGAGATTGGGCTTGTCCGACCCAATACCTATCTTTTTGGGTAAAAAACTTTTGAATTTTATTTTTCTAAAATTAAATTCAAGTTTTTCCAAATTGTTTTTCGGAAATTAAAATTCAAAATTGGGTCCGTTTTTCTCCCATCCGAACATATTTGAATCTGTTTAAATTTCAGAAAACCCGAACAGATTTAAATCTGTGCAGTTGGGTTTTATCTGTTTGAATTTGAACTCAAACAGTACCAATTCAAACCAACAGGTTTAGTACCTGTTCAAATACGTATGCTACCTGTTCAATTCAAATTAAAAGGGTGTCACTACATCTATAAATAGACTAACCCTCATTTGATGTTTTCATTTACTATTTTCATCCCAAATAATTCTGCTATTATTCTCTTCATATTGCTGCATTAGTTTTCTGTGAGAAAGAGTATATACACTTAGTGAGTTCGTTGTACGGATAAATTGTAGTGTTGTATTTATTCGTTGATTGATCATTTTATCCTGGAAGATAGATGTCCATATTCTGAAAGTACCGTGGAAATGACGAATCTGTCTTAAGGATACAGTATCGAACACTGGACTTGATCAGAATATTATTCAACAAATTAATCAAGTAAGTTGGTTATTTATTTTCTGTTTTTATTTATTTAAATCAGATTTTTTATTTTGTTTTGGTAACAAAATAAAAATCTGTTTTTATTTATTTTATTTTATTTTTCTGGTTTGATTTTTGTAATCAAACAAATTCTCTCATTTCCTTTATTTCTTTTGTATTCTAGTTGTTGCTAAGTACACAACAGAATTTAATTTATTTAAATACAGTGAAGATTGTCCAACAATCTTAAGACAGAATTATTTTTTGTATCTTTATTGTATTTAATTTTCTATGTTTTCACAAAGTGATATTCTGGTTGGAAAATACAAATAGTATTTATAAACTATTTAACAGATAGTAGTAATATACTGTCTATTTTCTTTGACAACTAGTAGTAATATACTGGTGTCATTAACAATTGCAGAATATTATTTGGTGTTATAGAAAATTATTGTGGTATTTTATTTTTCTGATTTTAGTAACAAGGAAAATAAAACGATTTTGTGTTATAATTTATTTTTTGGTTTTAGTAACTAGAAAATTAATTTGTGGTTTGTTTTTCTGATTTTTGTAATCAGATATTATGGCTACTGCAACTGAAACTGCAACTGGAAATGGTACTCCAATTGTTACACTAACACTGGTCCCTATCCAGAACCATGTTCAAGTACCAATAAATTATGGAGAAAAATGGAAAAAATTTAACGATACTGAGTTTAAGAGATGTCAGCAGAAGATGTTGTTCTATCTTACAACTCTAAATTTGGCCCGGTTTCTCCGTGAAGAGGCTCCAGCACTTAAAGAGGGTGAAAGTAATCGGCAAGTTGTTGCCGATGTAGATGCTTGGAAACATTCAGATTTCCTATGCAGAAACTACATGCTCAATGGCCTTGACAACATGTTGTATAATGTTTATAGCCTTGTAGACACCCCATTTTTGACCGTCCTCAAGACTTGGACGTCACCGTTTGAACACTTGGTGATCATTCATGTTTGTGTTCGTCTTGAGTTCCCAGAGGTCTCGGCCACGCGCCCTGCCTCAAAATCTCTCGACTCAACTGTTTTGTGTTTGGTTTTGCACCAAACACTTGTGTTTTGCCTTTGAAGGGCAGGGAATGGCTTGTTGGCCATTCCCACACATCACCGGCCATGGCTTGAGGCC